ACACAGACACAGGCAATCATTTATCTGTTTGATATCCTCGTGTACAGTAGGTCGTGCTTGATGCTACTGTATTCCTTTTACTCACCCTGAAGAATCTATGATAAATGCTTTTTATCTATGACACCTTTTAAGGAACAGATGCTTGTTTCCTAGTGTTGCAAACCCTCGAGAGTCTTTGTGTTGCGCTGCCGGCCCTACAGCATGTTACGAAAGATTGTATGTGTTTCAGGTTATGGATCCCAGTGGCATAATGAAATACACTCTTACTGAATGCAAGAGGAGCTGCCTGTACTTTCTGTGTGTGTGTGTGTGTGTGTGTATGGAAACCAGTGATGTTCCTTATGTGCTTCTACATTACAAGTGCATCTAAATCCATGCATGTTTATGGTTTTGACAATATAAAACACTTTTTGATAACATACTTTTTATACAGCTGTGATACAGTGTGGTCATACACATTTTCACTGGGTAAAACTGGGCACAGATGGCTCTGATGTAAGCTCTTCAATCTGCCATTAATCATACTGTACAGAAAGGCGGGAAAGGCCGCAGTAAAGGTCATAAAGAGGTGGATTTTATTTATTTATTTTTTTTACATGTGATTGTGTCTCATGGTAACTAAGAAATCTATGAGGTTGTCAAAAGCTACAAGTGCAGGTGGACCTAGTAAATGGTCTTGGTATATGGTCTTATACTTGTATAGCGCCTTTCTATGCTTTTACAGCACACTCAAAGCGCTTTCACATTATTCGGCCATTCACCCATTCGCACTCCCAAGCACTCAGGCATTCACACACCGGTGACATCACCGGGAGCAAATGGGGGTTCAGTGTCTTGCTCAAGGACACCTCGACATGTTGACTGGTAAAGCCGGGAATCGAACCGCTAATCCTCCGGTTAGGAAATGACCCGCTCTACCTCCTGAGCCACAGCCCCCCAGTAATCTCCCTTTACTATTGATTTTTTTTTTTTACATGCATGTTTTTAATACTTGGACCCTTAACTGTTTATAGTAGCACTAGACCCAGTGAGCTCTTTCTTCATTCCAGTTCCTACACACACAGTATCAATCTCAGCAGTTGTGCCCAGGGATTAAAAAGAGCTGGAGGCAGCTGGATTGTAGCTCAAGTATAAATGACACAGGTGAAGTTTAGTCCCAGCACATCAGCCTTCAACCAGGCACCTGCTGCATTGTGCAAACAGAACCTTCGCTTTCACACTAGTACATTTTGGTCCATCAGTATGTTTAGATGCATATAACCCACAAGATCACTTATATCCATACAGATTTTATACAAACATAACTCAGCCACAATAGAAATTCATCAGGTTCATTACAATTTTAAACACAGTCCAGTGTCCTTGAGTTATTATTGCAAAACAAGCTAATTATTCCAAATAATATTGTCATTAAAATAAATCATATTAGGCTAGTGGTTATGGCGCAGCATTCTCACCATTGCGGCCCGGGTTCGAGTCAGGGTTGCGTCAGGAAGGGCATCCGGCGTAAAAAAAAAAAACACGTGCCAAATGTCAACATGCGAGTCAAATTCCTTGTGTGTCTGACACACCTGGCCAATAAAGCAGATTCTGATTCTGAAATGTAACTTTGTGACTTTGATGAGTTTTTCTAACTGTTAGAAATGTGTTGCAGGCTATATGAACTGATTACGACTCTGACCTTTTACTTGTACTTAGTTATTTGTCTGTAGAAGATGCTGTAGTTCATGGTCAAATGGTCATCCAGCCCTCACCCACCTAGATTCAAAGGACTCTTATGTGTGAATGCTGTTCCTAGACGTCAGTTCAGCATTCAACACAATCATTCCCCAGCAGCTTACACAAAAACCTGGACACCTGAGACTCAAAACCTCTCTCTGCAACTGGGTGCTGGACTTTCTAACAGGGAGGCCACAAAATGTGCGGGTCGGCAGCAACATCTCCAAGACCATCACGCTGAGCACAGGAGCTCCGCGGGGGTGTGCGCTCAGCCCATTGCTCTTCACACTGCTGACCCACGACTGTGTGCCAACCTACAGCACCAACCACATTGTCAAGTTTGTGGCCTCATTACCAACAACGATGAGGCCAACTACAGTAGTGGGGTGTGCCAACTGGCCCAGTGGTGTAAGGACAACAACCTCTTCCTCAATGTGGGGAAGACTAAAGAGATTGTTGTGGACTTCAGGAGGAAACCTCTAAAGCATCCCCCACTGACCATCGACGGTGCTGTAGTAGAGAGAGTGAGCAGCACCAAGTTCCTGGGGGTGTACATCTCTGAGGACCTCTCCTGGACCAACAACACCACATCACTGGCCAAGAAAGCTCAAACATGCCTCTACTTCCTCTGCAAACTGAGGAGAACCAGTGCTCCACCCCCCATCATGTGCTCCTTCTACTGGGGCACCAGTGAGAGCGTCATCACTGGCTGCATCACTCTGTGGTACAGAGCCCATACTGCCACCTGTACAGCCAGCAAGATCATCGGCGCCCCTCTGTCTTCCCTTATGGATATCTTCAACACCCGCCTCACCCACAGAGCCATCAGCATTGCTGATGACACCTCCCACCCCGCAAACTCCCACTTCAGATTCCTGCCTTCAGGGAGAAGGTATCAGAGTCTTCAGGCCCACTCCACCAGACTTACACAAACAGCTTCATCCACCAGGCTGTGAGGATGAACGCTGTCCATTATCCCCCCCGTCCCTCGAACATAACCCACCACAGAACATAAAAAGATATAATAAGACTACCCCTGCTGTTGCACAAACTCAGCACATTCCCACTTTTTGTTATATTACAGGTAAAAAGAAAAAATAACTACCTCTGCTGTTTTACCATCTGTTATATTATATGTAAATCTGCTGCTGACTGTTTTTGTTTTTTGCCAGAATATCTGCTGCTGTTGGTCATTTGCAGTACTGTCCATGTATACCTCATATGCTATTTGCACCTCATCACCAACATCCTGGTGATGCTGAAACATCTGACAATCTCCTATCATTGTTTGCACTACTGTCACTGACTGTACATGATTTTGAGTCACAGCTTATTGGCTTTACCGTTTAGATTTATCCTAATTATGTTAACCCAGTTATTCTATTCTATTCTACTTGATTCTATTCTATTCTATTCTTACTTTACTCTATTTTAGTTCCTAAATGTTATGGCACCCAATACTAGGTGAGACAGAAACAGTATTTCGATTTTCTGTCTGTCCTGCATGGACGCCATCTGATTCTCCTGGTCAAAAGCTGCAGTCATAACAAAGTGGAGGTGTTAGCATGTAGATGTGCCTCCTAGCTCACTACTCAGCTTTAGGATGCAGCTGCAAAAATGAAGAATAACATTACATTTTCTATACAATGATTATTAAAAAATAAGCTCTAATACAATTAAAAAAAAGTAATAATCCAACAAAACAAAGCCAAAAATAATTTTTTTCAGTTCCTTAGTAGAAGAATGCCTTATAATCCTACTGTTTGGCCTTGTGTCATTTCTTTTCATAATGTAATGACACAGAGTTTTACTTCCTTCTCACAGTATTGGTGTGGTGGCTACAGAAAAAGAGTGCACTTTGGCCTAGAAAGACATTTTGCCTTACACATCCCTTACAAAAGAAACATTTGTGAAGTAATGATGTAAATTTACCAAATAAAATTCTGACCTCGCTTTTTGTTGTTTGTCTGAAAGATTATTTATGTACAATATCTGCAGTTGCATGGTCTGTAAGTTCTGCTGCTGATATCGTTTTACCAAAATACACGATGTCACCTTTTATACACGGAACAAACTGGTTCCTTTAATATGTTATGTTAAAATAAATTTTTAAGAAAATTAAATCACATGAGTCGCATGTTGGAGTTCATTTTACCCCAAATTAACCCAATAAGAAATTTGAATAATGTCTTACTTTAATAATCCCACAAATTGTGTTGTTTTTTTCACTTTCTGGTCCCTAAATTTTCAAAGAATTGTTATTGTAGACATATTTTAATATTTTATTTGTTGTGGCTGGGGGGCCAGAGAAAGACAGCAGCTACTGTAGAGACAGAGAGGACAGAGGCCACACAAAAGAAGAAAGAGCTTAATAAGAATAATATTGGTGATAACACACTCATTAGTGATAAAAGGTAAAAAAAAAAAAAAAGACAGAATAGCAGCTGTGTTTTTCCAAAGCTAATTATATTTAGGAGCTTAGATTTGCCGGATATTAACATCAAAATTACATCTCAAGGACCCCGACATCCTGACTGAATTTGAATTCTGCTGCCCACATTTTCTTTTAAAAAAAATTTGTCACCTGTGCTTCCTGCACTTAATTTATTCATATTTTTTTTTACCTTTTTGACCTTGTATTTCTTGAAGAGCATACCTAATTTGTATTAGCTGCTGGAGAAACAACAGTTGTTTAAGCCACTGATTGTTTTTTATGTTTTATTAATTTATTCCCTAGTCCATATATTTAAATTTGGCTCCATCTGCACTTTGCCAGTCAGAACTGCTGCAAACACACACAGACACACACACACAAACATCCACAGTAAGCACATCTTTTGACAGAGAGTGACTTTACTTTGATCTACTAGTTTAATTAAATAGCATGTTGGTGATTGAGATGTGAATGAATTGCGCTCAGTCACCAGCCGCCATGGTCAAAGTCATTACCGCCGACAGGCTGTACTGAAACTAAACAGTGATGAGTCCTTGAGGGCAATTGACATGTGTTGCCAAGATATAACAGCAATGAACGGCTTTAAAACAAAAATTAATGCTGCATGTCGAAACATAAAGGCACAACTGTAGTTGCAGTGTGGTTTTATAGTTTAATTTCTACAAGGAGACCGCATAGTTTTTATAAACAACACATGCATTAACCAGCTGTAGCCCTGCAGGAGGGACACCTGCTGATGGAATGGTTTTTTTGGGAATTTGTGCTCAAGTACAGTACCTGAATTAATGTACCATGCCCTCTGTCTTCTGTTTTTTGTTGTTCACAGCTACACCCTCCGTGTGGTCGGCAATGGGATCAAAGCACAGAGTGCCAATCCTGAAGTCAAAGTGAAGGAAGCAGATCCTGTGATAAATCAGATCATTGACAAACTGAAACACATCAATCAGGTGAGACTCTCTCATTCTGTGTAGATATGTGCTTTATGTACATTATATGATTTCCTCTTTTATTATAGCTCTCCTGCCCTATTAAGTCTACTTCCATCCATCATTCTGTCACACACACAGTATGGTAAATGTCTCCTTAGGCAGTTTGCTAATTCTCTCTGCTCCTTTATTTATGGAACATTAAGTATCCCTTAGCTTTTGGCTTGTTACTTAAGGTACCCTTGAAACTGCCGCATTGTAATGAAAAGACAGTTCTCAAAGCTTTTACAGCCGTTTAAACCTTTACCTTTAAATAATACCTTTAAATAATAACAAAATAATGAATTTATATAACCTTTCATATTATTGGTAAGAACTGGATGATAGAAAACTAGTCTCAAATGCAAAATCATCTCTGGGCAATAAAAAAATCAATCATTACCCACTTAGAAATCCATTTGATCTGGTTTGTGTGTCTTCATATTTACAAAATTTCTTTTCTGCTCTTTGTCAAAATCAATGTAGCTTTTCTATTATCCAGTCTCCCTTCCTGCACGTTTGTGCTGCTGTGGCTCTTTTCAGCGCTGTTTATCTGCCAGGATGATGAGATTAGGGCAGTTTACGGGAGCACTTTCTCTTCTATAGCTTCAGTAACAGCTGCTGTAGCTGCCTCTAGGTTGTTGCACTGCAGTAGCAGCAGCAGCTTTCACGTCTGTTGCTTTGGTTTCCCAAGTGGCAGGCTGAAGGCCAGGTCGTCTCTCTTGACCTCATGCTGGCAACCCCTTCCTGGCTAATTCATACCATCTGTGGGATGTCAGAAGACATAAATCTATATCACAGCCATTTCAGAGCTCCTGATCTGCCTTGTTGACACTCACTACGTATGGTATATGTGTGTGTGTGTGTGTGTGTGTGTGTGTGTGTGTGTTTTTGCCATCTGCATCTTAAATGTGCTTCTTTGCTTCTTTGTATGTCCTTGGGGTTTAGTGAATTTTTGCCTACAGGACAAAGACAAATTTTTTTGTGTGAATACCCAGACATTGTTTTTCTGCTGTGCATGATTTACTGTAACAACTATGAAACAGAGCATGATTCTCAGATCAGCCCAGATTATGTAATAATATATAATCTGCTGAGAGCAAGTACTTCAGTGAGTGCATCTTTAAACCCTCTGTTTTTTTTGTTTTGTTTTTTTTTTATGCCCGATATCTTTGCAGATTGTCGCCTGTTCTCCACATTTTCTGTTCATCTCCATTTCTGGTAACTATTCATTCAGGGGTCTGTCGGAGGTTTCTTATGTTGTTTTTCCTCCTCACTGTCACCAAGTGTTTGTGCAAGGGAGATTTGTTGGTGTTTATTAATAATAATAATAATAATAAGGTCTAGACCTTAGAGATGATTTTTGCTGTGGTTTGGCATTAGGAAGCAAAAATAATCAATCCAAAAAGGAAATTACATCTAAAATTGTTGATTGGCTCTGGCAGTGCATGAATTTTGCTTAAAAGTGACAGAAATGTGAAATTACAGAAGGAAAGGTCTCTGAGCAAAACCAGAAATTGCAACCCAAACTGGTGGATCCAATGCCAATCCTATTTGTGTTTGCTACAACAAAATTAAATGTTAGGTTGGTATTGTGTCTCAGGTGGTACAAGCCTCACGTTTTGTTTTAACTCAGGCACTTATTATGTTCATAGCTCAGCTCAAGACAGCAAGCTCTTTGGTGTATACATCAGGCTGTATTCTCTCTTGAAGTCAAAAGGTGTTATTTCACAATGGCATCAAATGTAAATGGATACGTATCTTAAAAACTATCGACATGTTGGAATTCAGCACCTCAAAAACCATAAAAATAGCACATTTAAATTTGGAAGCAGACAGCTTTTTCCTTTTAAACTGTAGACCAGTGTTTTTTACACATCAAGGACATACATACTCAGTTTTTGATTACCACCAATTTAAGAATAATTGACATTAGCTTGATTACAGACACTTCACCCCAGCAGAATCATGTACGTCTCCATCAAAGCAGCAGAGCTAAACACTGCAGCACTGTGATGGCCTAGTGTTAGATGACAATTAAATTTAATTTTCTTTATGTTTTCTAACACTGTTAAAGGTTAGTTTACATCAGTAATAACTGTAAACACAAATAACCAGTCAAACTTTTCATTTAGTTTTTAAATCTTTCTTTCTTTCCATTTTGTTTCTCTTTTCCCTTCCCAAAGTTCCATTTTTCTCCTGAAATCTTTTCCTGACACTTAATTTGTTTTGAAACTGAGACATTGTGTGAACTCATTAGTATCATCACGAACAATGATCAAAAGTGATACATGGGTGCAACATTTGATATGTAGCTCATTATCAGTTTACTCACCCGTCTGGTGATTGCTGGTGTGTGAAGAAACTAACTCAAGTTGGTTTTACTTGTAGCAAAAAAACACTGTGACAATCACTTTTCAGGTTGTAAAGCAGTCACTGCTGCACATAACTAAGTTTTTACTTCAGTTCTAGAATAATTTTCTGTTTTCAGCACCTTGCTCAGCAGTCTGTGTAATGTGCTGAATTTTTGAAGAAGGCCCTGTAACAGTTCAGAGACAGCGAAGGAGCAGATGTTCTAATTATCTCAGAACTTTCTGACCATGGTTCCTTCCCCAAATACTTCCAAGTTTTCTTGGAAATAAAATAGGGCTTTGTTATTACTACATGAATAAAAGTAATGTTTTGAATGAATTGAGTAAAAATCAAAATCACTGGCTCTCAATGTGAATTTACTGATATGTAAATGTGTTTACTGAGAATATTCAGCAAAAGGAAAAAAAAAGTGTTTTCAACAAAGCAGATTCACAGCAGTCTTTTCTTTCATTATGAAAGTCTCTGTCATAATCCCACCTTTCAACAAGTATGTCTGAAAACAGACAAGTGGCATTTCTAAAAAATATTCTGTCAGATTGCCAGGTGTTGCTTGAGCCATTAGTATTTTGAGATACAAAAACAAACGGAACCAGTGATCAGTTCATGTTTCAATCTGACTCAAGGTGAAGTGAGTTGTCTGGTTGTTGGGTTTGATTGTGGTTTTATTAGTTTGTCCCCCACTTTAGTCTAGACTGAACTATCTCAGCAGCATTGTCTTGTAATGAAAGAGCACTGGTGGAAGGAGTACTCAGATCTTTTATCTGTATAAAAGGTGCCATACCCCAGTGTAGAAATACTTTGTTGCAAGTGAAAATCCAGGTTTTAAATTTTGAAATAAGTACAATTACAAAAATATTAGTGTCAACATGTACTTTAAGTACAAAAAATAAAAGTACTAGTGGAACTAATTGAAATTACTTTACTTTATATACTGCTGTTAGCTTGAGCTTTTCTCCCAGTGATCAATAGTATTATCTTAACTTATAAGAAAACATCATTGTTAACTTGTTGATATATTGTGTATTATTAATCTGAATCTGCAAAGTAACAATTAACCAAAGTTATAAATGTAGTGGTGTAAAGAATTCAATATTTATAAAATAAAATAAGATATAAAGTAACAGAAAATGGAAATACACAAGGAAAGTCAAAGTACTTCCAGAAAGTAGGGTACAGTTTTTGAGTAGATGGACCTGCACCACGGCCCCTGGGGGTGAATCCTGTTGACCTTGTATCTTGTGCCACCGGTAGGTCGGAGCATTCACGTACTAAGGCCACCGCCCACTAGAATGGACATAAAGTGAAGTCACAAGTCAGATTCAGATTTCAGAACAGAATTTTATACAATGCGGATTAATATAGTCACATTGCATATAATCATTTTGAATGATATAGAATGCATGTTTTACAAACAGAAAGATCTGTTGGCCTGCCAAG